TGAAACAAACAAAATGGCAAATGAAATTTAATGTGGATAAGTGTAAAGCAATGCACATCGGGAAAAATAACCCCAACTATACGTACACTATGATGGGGGCTAATTTGGCTACGACAGATCAGGAAAGAGATCTTGGAGTTATCGTGGATAGTTCTCTGAAAACTTCCAAATAGTGCGCAGCGGTGGTCAAAAAGGCAAATAGGATGTTAGGAATTATTAAGAAAGGGATAGAAAATAAGACACAGAATATCTTACTGCCCCTGTATAAAACTATGGTACACCCACATCTTGAATACTGTGTACAGATGTGGTCTCCTCACCTCAAAAAAGATATTTTGGCCTTGGAAAGGGTTCAGAAAAGGGCAACTAAAATGATTAGGGGTTTGGAACGGGTCCCATATGAAGAGAGATTAAAGCGACTGGGACTTTTCAGTTTAGAAAAGAGGAGACTAAGGGGGGATATGATAGAGGTACATAAAATCATGAGTGGTGTGGAGAAGGTGAATGAAGAAAAGTTATTTATTAGTTCCCATAATAGAAGAACTAGAGGACACCAAATGAAGTTAATGGGTAGCAGGTTTAAAACGAATAAAAGAAAGTTCTTCTTCACACAGAGTGTAGTCAATCTGTGGAACTCCTTGCCAGAGGAGGCTGTGAAGGCTAGGACTATAACAGAGTTTAAAGAGAAGCTAGATCATTTCCTGGAGGTTAGGTCCATAAAAGGCTATTAGCCAGGGGATAGAAATGGTGTCCCTTGCCTCTGTTTGTCAGAGGCTGGAGAGGGATGTCAGGAGACAAATCGCTTGATCTTTGTCTTCGGTCCACTCTCTCTGGGGCACCTGGTGCTGGCCACTGTCGGCAGACAGGCTACTGGGCTAAATGGACCTTTTGTCTGACCCAGTATGGCCGTTCTTATATTATTTTCTTATGACATATAGAATATACTTTGATAATGTCTGAAACAGGTTTAGATTTAGATGTGAGAAAAAGTCTCCCAAAGCCCACAAAAGAGGAAAGTTAAAGAGGAGCTCTGAAATTACAATCCATGTATAGTAAGACACAATGTTGACAAGTGAAAGTGGTGCATGTATAAATTAATTGGCATTCCACTTAATAATTCATATTCAAAATAATCAAGTCTGTCAGCATTTTTTTTTTACCTCAAGAGAACATACAGTCTGTGGAATTCTCTCTGAAAGTTTCCTCTTGCCCACAATGCTCCTAGAAATATTTATTTGGAGAACACACTCACAAAAACAAAATCCTCAGAAGATATTTTTAAAGAATCTGCTAGCAATGCAATGAAAGTATATTTAGCTGTCTTCAACCTTACTAGGTGTCACAAGAATAAATCCCCATGTACCGATAAGAGATTATGTTTTTTTTTAATGGACCACAAAACTTGTATTTAGCAACTGTTACAAAGCCAGAAAAATAATCTACTAGGGCACCAGAATTGCTCCCACACCTGATACTCTTACGCCATTGTGCTATAATTTGCATCTTGGAACCATATTGTATATCAGTTCCAGATTTATAATAAGTGAAATTTTCTCATTTAAGCAACTTAAGAAAACCCTAGAAACTTTTCAAAAACAAAGTTATTTTCATTCATAACACATATCTTTAGCGAAAATACAGATTTAATTTATAAATTAATCACAAATGAAAAATAATGACTGCTTTCCTAAAATGACCATCACATGGCATTTGCACTTTTGGTTTAGTTGCTGTGTCAGTCCACTGGCATTAGAGAGACAAGGTGATCAGGTAGTATCTTTACTGCACTAACTTCTGTTGACAGGGAGACAAGAGGTCCCCTGCCAGCGCTTCTCTGTCCCACACAAGGGACGCTGAAGCCTGCGCCTCTCAGAAGGGACAAAGAGGCACAAACAGAGAACAGGGGACACAGAGAGGTAGCAAAGTGGCCTTGAGGGAAGCAGAGATATGTGAACAGCAGGGCCTGGGCTTAAATAGCAGAGAAGCAGAAGAGATGGGCAGGTGGAAGCAGGAAGCGGCAGTGAAGTCCGATAGGCTGATGGGGTGGGGGTTGTGTTGGAAGCAACAGGTGGCAGGCAGGAAGAGCTGTGAGGGAAGATGTGGACCAGAGGTGGGAAGAGGAATAACACGAGAACTCAAAAGGCAAAAGCAAGGAAGAGGGACCACATACATATTACCTCATGTAATAGTTAGCAAGGGAATATTATTTTCTCACCTGGCCTTGGCCCTTGCTCTTTCTGCCCTCCCTGCTGAGGGGTTACCAGGAAAGAGCAGGATACTGGAGTGGAATCTTGGAGCGGAATGTGGGCGGAGTCACAGCGCAGGTGCCCTTTCAGCTGTGCTGTGGTGCACCACATTCATTTTAGGGGCCTCCCTTGGCCTATTATACATGCCCACTATAGTCACAGCTAAATAAAAGATTAAAGGGAGAATGTAGCATAAGTAGTCACATAATCTAAGGGACCATTAGAGGAGAAGCGGACCAATACTAATGGTATGGGTGAAACCAAGTAATCATTATGCTCTCATATGATCTCATACAGGAAAATCATAGACTGCAAAAAACACCATATAACCCCTGGGTTAACATTTTTCACAAAGCAATCACTCCCTGCCCTGTCAGTCCTTATCCTCAAAGGAAAACTGCACAACACTTTTAAAAGATGAGCCTAGAAGTTTAAATTCATAACTGTGCTTGACACTAAAAATCATGGTTTAATAAAGACACTGGATTTATAGCTTATTACAAAAACCTATAACCACTAACTCCCCGTTTTGTCTTATGATTACTAGGGATGTGAATTGGCCACTTCTCCTTGAATAGTCCCTTAGAACAGTGGTTATCAACCAAGAATTCATGTACCCCTGGAGGTATGCAGAGTTCTGCCAGAGGGTAAATCAACTCATTTAGGGTATGTCTACACTACCACCCTAGTTCGAACTAGGATGGTTAATGTAGTCATACGAACTTGCAAATGAAGCCCGGGAAATTCAAATCCCGGGCTTCATTTGCAAGTTCGAATGACTACATTAACCACCCTAGTTCGAACTAGGGTGGTAGTGTAGACATACCCTCAGGTATTTGTCTAGTTTTACAACAGTCTACATATAAAGCTCTAGTAAAGTGAGTACAAACTAAAATTGCATACAGATAATGACTTGTTTATACTGCTCTATATGCTATGCACTGGAAAATAAGTACAATATTTATATATCAATTGATATATTTAATTATATTGTAAAATGAGAGTCACAATTTTTCAGTAATAATTTGCTGTGAGACCTTTGTATTTTTATGTCTGTTTTTGTAACCAAGGGTATGTCTACACTACCCCCCTAGTTCGAACTAGGGGGGTAGTGTAGACATACCCCAAATTATTTTACATGAAGCAAAACATGCGGGATGAGAGGAGAGGAAGGAGTACACAAGACAAATCAGATTCCTAAAAGGTTACAGATTCTGGAAAGGTTGAGAGCAAATGCCTTAGGGTGCATCTACACAGCACCCTAAACTCAGAATAAGATACGCAATTTGTGCTACGCAAATTGCGTAACTTATTTCGAATCTATTTTGAAATAGGATACTTTGAAATTTGACGCACCGACACAGCACCAAGTTTCAAACTAACGCACTATTTTAAGCCACCCCCTATCCCTTGTGCATCCCTTATCCCTCCCCTGTCACCCATTTCTGATTAATCTTAGTATATATTCTGCAAAGTACATTAATTTATAGAATCATACAGTCATAACTCTTTTAGCATTCTAGTAGGTTTTCATTCTTCAGTAAATGACCCAGATGAAACATGTTAATATTAATATCCCCTAGAAAGAACTAAATTTTTACAGTTTTAAAAAGGAAATCAAATACATGTGACACATTAAAAATATATTTTATACGTAGGTTACTCAAACTTTATACAGGACTTGAGTGGGAGCTCATATCTTATTTCTCTGTTGAGTTTGTGTGTTGATATGCAGAAGTTACGCACAAAGTACTATTTCTAAGATTACATCATAAATACGGCACAATCTTCATGACTGACGTGATAACTACAAGGATAATGGTACATTTTGGGAGACTAGATTGGAGTAGTCCATTTATTATCAGCTATTTGAAAGAAGACTTTTAATATGTCCTTTTTTGTTGTACCAAGAGCAGTGATTAAACCTTAATGATGCACATGCTCACAACCATTATTGTTCACCGGCCAATTTAGCCATTCTAAATTAAATTGATCCAATGATTGATTTTTGGGCTGTTTGATTCATATAGTAATTGAACGTGATGTGAAGCTCAGCCTCCTCACGGAACATAGCATAGTAGCAGATCTCTGCAGAAAAAAAAAACCTACAACTATCTGCACTAAAACACTCACTGTTTTGCTTCACCTCATTCTGCATCCTTACATTTTGCTTTTCTACCTCATTTCATGAAAGAGAGGTTTGTGTCAAAAAAGTGAAGATTCATATTTCTAACTCTGAATTCTGAAATTATCTTTAGCTTGCACTGGATCCACTGCATTCATATAATCATTTGCAGATGGCGGTCTGAACTCAGATATGGTGGGGTCTGAACTCAAGTTTATCTAACTTCACTCCTACAAATACTTTGATTTTCTCTCTTCCTTCCACATTTCCATGACTTTTCCTTTCAGCAAAGTAATGCTTGAAACTCCCCATACTGTGTAAAGAATTTTCATCTTTCCTTTACTTTAAAAAAAAGGTTCGACAAGTCTCAAATTAGGCACCCAGTAACTCGGCAACACCAAATTAGTGGACCTTTGTCAAAATGGTCTTAATAATATTAAGCACCAAAAAATTATCTGTAAAAGGGTAGAACACCACAACCTTTCAGGATGTTGTAGTCTTAATTGTTGAACAAGCATTTTGAGATCGTTGGATAAAAGTATAACATTTTAGTTAAATACGTTTTAATTGTAGTTTTTATTGAATAATAAACACATGGTAAATGCTTTCATAGCAAATAGCTATCTTACCACATCATTATCTTCTCCCTCTTGCTTTTCTTTCTCATCCTGTGCAAATCTGGGAAAAGCAGCTCCTGATGTCATGGTGGAATCTGAGAAAAAATAGATATAATCAGTAATTGATCCTTATATGTTATGTATGATTTATTAAGAATTTAAATGTCTATAGACCAGTGGTTGGTAACCTGCAGCCTACAGGCCACATGTGGCCCATCAGGGTTCTATGTGTGGCTCATGAGACATTTTGTTTATCATCCCCCACATGCAGGGTTGACATATTCCACTGATTTCTATCTGCATAGTTCCGCTCCCCCCCCTTACTGGAATTACTGAAGTGACTTGCAGCTAAAACAAGGGCACGGAAAGTGGTGTGTGTGCATTGACTGTGAAAGCTAAGTGCTCCCTCTGCATTGATACCCCTCCCCCACAAATTCTAGGTACACAAGCACAATAAGCAAAAGTACCTTATCCTGGGAGACAGTCTTGATTATGACAATGTTATGGCCCAGAGATGAAGGAAGGCCACTCATGTGGTCCATTCACTAGCCTAGGTTACCCATCATCACTATAGATACACTGTGCAGCCATCTCAATAAAACTACATAAGCACTAAAAATGACATGGCATTTACAATACAAATGGCTATACTTGATATAGATAGCTCCGTTTTCTGGTACTCCTGAAGATGTCAAATTCTGTATCTTTATCAGCGAAAACAAAATATAGCAAATTACCAGGAGTGGATCAAGATTTACTGGGGCGCTGGAACATAAAGAATATTTATCCCGCCGCCACATCCCAAACCATAAGCCTCCACCCTTTGATCCTTCTCTCTCCTGTCCACTCCCACCAGGCCCTGCCCACAAGCTGGCTGGAATCTGGAGTCAGACCATGATAAGAGCTGCCCACAGAGCCCAGGCTGCTGTAGGAAGCCCTGGACCTTCTACCTGCCCTGGGCGGCATGCCCTGAGGAGCAGGGACATGGGCTGGGGCAGGCCTGGGCACAATTCGGCCTGCAGTCCAGATCCAGCCCACCAAGCCACTGGATCTGGCCCATGGACGCTGCAGGGAGCCAAAGGTAGGCTCCCTGCTTGCCTCACCCCATCCTCATGCTGCTCAGAAATGCAGCTGCAGGGCGATTTCACTTTAAAAACTGAGCCCAGAAGGGAGGGAGGAAAGCATTAGGCCTCCTGTCCCCTAGCACAATCCCATTGGCTGGCTTCTGGCCAGAAACTGGCAAATGGGAACTGCCTGTTTCAAGGCAGCCACAAAGTACAAGGAGCTCTCAGTTATTCACAGAGCACATGGCTGCAGCCTGTGTGGGGGCGGGGGAGGCAAGGAGGCTGATTCAGGAATAGGCTGCTGGCTGGTAGGTCTCCTGGCCAGACCCTTGTCTCTGGGACTCCAGCCCCTCCCTTCTCCAACCCTCTTCCCCACCACTCCTGACCCCCTACTCCACATACCCAAAACCTCGGCCTCCCCCTAAACCCATACCCCCTCCCAGATCTGGCAACCCAATTTCATGCCCCCAGATCACAGTCCCCTCCTGTGCTAGCTCACAACCCAGATCCCTGCATCCCCTCCTATACCTCAATTCCCTGCATATGTTACAATCCAACCCCCTTCACCCCAGTCCAGTGCCCCAGGTCACATCTGCTTCCTTCACACAAATTCCCTCCCTTACTCCAAACTCACTTCTGCACCTAACCTCCATCGCAAACCCCACACCTCCTCCATTAATATCATGGAAGAGTGCGGCCCTTGACTTTGGAGTCCCCTCCCTCCCCCCAGGAAAAATTATTGCCCACTTCTGGGCTGGGGTCTGCTGTTGGTCTCCCTACACCAGCCTGGGCTTCCTGGACAGCTCATAAGTAATCCACAATCTCAGCTTCTCTTTTCCTGGCTCTGGAAAGGGTTAACTCTGTGGTACCCTTGTTTAAATTAGGATAAGTGTTTCATTTCCTGAGAATACACAGATTTCACAAACACACAATAAAGGATTTTCCCTATTCCAAAGATCTCCAGTCATTCTTAAATCCCAGCACAGCAAGTGTACATGACGGATGCTTGGAGGGTAGTGATGCAAGCCTGACAACAAGCAAGTCCCAAATCAGGTAATTTTTAAAATAGCATTGTTAGAATTCCCTACCGAACGAGACCCCCTAGATCCATCCCAGGAAGAAGTGACTCTGGATTTGCTACCCATTACTTTTAAAACACTATATTTATTTTCCCCTTCCGTACAGACTCTTGTCACCAGTGTCCTTTCTCCAACATCATTAGTTTCCATCTCTTCAGCCCTCTCAAACCATGGGTCAATCCTTCAAGGTGTGTACTCCCTCTCTCTTTCCTGCTATGCAGAGGGCGGGGGGAAGGATGGGTTCATGAAACAGAGAGAGTTCACCGATCAATTATGGAATGCCTCCTTTGATATCCCCACCCATGAGGGTGCCAGTGAGGGACACTTTCCTGTTACCTAACACCCTACTTAGGCTGGCAGACACGAGGGACTTCCTTATTTGCTACCAATCTTATGTAGAAGGTGTTCAGATAAGGTACGTCTACATAGAAGCATTATTTTGGAATAACTGGCGTTATTCTGAAATAACATAGTGCATGTCTACACTACAAGACTTTATTTCAAAATAATGTCAAGCTGGAGGACTTCTTACTCCATCTCATGGTAAACCTCATTTCACAAGGAGTAAGGGAAGTTGAAAGAAGAGTGTTCTTCCTTTGACTTCCTGCTGGGTAGACAACACCAAAAGCTGAATTAAGCTATTTTGACAAGCTGCACAATTGACGTAGGTGAAGTTGCATAGCTTATTCTGACATTAGCCCTGCTGTGTAGACGTACTCATATGCTCAGATACAGTACTGATGGACAGGAGGATAAAACCCAATAATAGAAAGCTATACATCTCTCCACCCTCAAAAACTCTCAGAGTCTGGAAATGCTGAAACCTGGGGGACTACTCACACCAAAAGCAAACTCCATGTATAGCTGCTGAGAGGAGTTATGGGGCTCCCAGAGGCATGTGCTCCCAAAAGCCTGGCATCACAGAAGGAAATGGGACTAGGGTCAGCTCCACTACCAGTTGCAGTTAGCAGCAAGAAATACCTCTGACAAAATAGCCCCTTTGTGCTGCACCAAATGCCTCTTGGAAATAACAGTCAGAGCCACTGGCTCTCAGGGAAACAAAACCTCCTCTAGCCTCACAGACTAGCCCAGTGATGGGAAAGGAAACCAGAAGCTAGTCTGGCTCACACATTGCCAGCAGGATGGTTAGCTAGGCAAAGTGCTCTTGGTTACTCATAGGCAATCTAATGAAGGCACATGTGGGCTGTGTGCAGCTCACCTAAGGGCAGGACCTAAAGGGTGTGTCTAGACTACATGCCTCCTTCGACGGAGGCATGTAGATTAGCCAGATCGAAAGAGGGAAATGAAGCCGCGATTAAAATAATCGCGGCTTCATTTAAATTTAAATGGCTGCCCCGATCTGCCGATCAGCTGTTTGTCGATCAGCCTCGTGAAACCAGGTTTACCTGTGCCGATGAAGAAAGGCTTCTTTGTCGGCGCGTCGCGCCCAGACTGCCCCGATCTGCCGACAAACAGCTGATCGGCAGAGCGGGGCAGCCATTTAAATTTAAATGAAGCCGCGATTATTTTAATCACGGCTTCATTTCCCTCTGCCGATCTGGCTAATCTACATG